AAAAGAACAAATGAATATAATTAGCATCCTACAATTTAATAATTTTCCTATGAAGATTATTAGAAGCATATTAAAACAACACAGTTTATTACATTATAATAATGATTCGAATGAAATGCCTTGGATTGGCACTGTAGTCCTACCATACCGTCATGGCACAACAGAAGAAATTCAAAGAATCTTAAAACATCACAGAATTAAAGTGTATTACAAAACAACGAACACACTACGTAATACTTTAGTTCGCTTGAAAGAAAAAATCCCGTTCATGTCCACACAGAACTGCGTCTACAAATTAGGTTGTATCGATTGTGATGCCTATTATATTGGAGAGTCATCCCGCGAAATCTTGACTAGAGCCAAAGAACATATTAGGTACACAAAGAAACCTCCTAACAATCCTGTAGAACTGAACCAACTTCAAATTAAATCGGCAATAGCAGTTCATGCCATTTTCAACAACCACCAAATCGATTTTAAAAATATCAAAATATTGCAAAAAGGCTTTTCCAACTACAAAGAAAGGAGGGTAGCTGAGGCATTCCATATAATGCTTAATCCCACTTCTCTCAATAGAAAAGAAGGCCTTACCATACATCCTACTTGGACCATCTATCCTAACCATTCAGTCTGATCGTATTTACAATTTCACACTATCATATTACAAATTTAAACTCTATCCTTTCTTACCATATAGGTCACACAGTTTTCATTCTTTAACAATGCACACACACATACATACACAAATTTACATACTTATCACTTATGAATCACCGTGACAGAAATGACATACATCAACTTGTCCAGACCTGTTTTTGATTGATCAAATATTATTCTTGCATTGTTCCATTGTACTATTTAAACTTGGATTAATTTTAATTTGGTTATTTATTCTCTGAAGAAGTGACTTACACTAAGCCACGAAACGTCAGAAAAATCCAATTTTCTACTCATTGGGATATTACAAATATATTATTTTTATTTAGAACTTGTTGATGTCAATACTTCCGCGTCCTTAAAAGTGGCTGCTATTCACTGGATGTTTTCTGCATATATGATGCTTGATCAAATACTCGACGACTCAAGACCTATCCAGTGAATTTGGTAATTTAGTGACTGAAACACTAGAAATAATCATCAGTTCGCGCAAATGAGTGAACCTTGTGAAAACTGAAATCGACTGTGTTGCATCTATTACAACATTGATGGAATTTCGCAACAATTAAACAGTGAATGGATGTCCAGTCTATTGTGAAATTGATGTGAGACGTAATTATTAGAATACGTTATCACACGTACAAATAGGTTGAAAAGTGAAATGTTCTCTAGACAACCTGCAAGTCCAGAGTTTAATCCTTACTGGTTTAGTTGATGTAGGGTGACACTTAGATGTACCATTCTGTCATGAAACAACTATCCAGTGATATTGTGGTTGATACTCCTTACCTAACGTCATATTGATGACAATTTGTGAAATATATACATATATAATGAAATATAATAGTAATTTTCATGTTCTTCTCTATCGATTCTCGTAATAAGTCAACTGTAATGATACGTTCTACTATGACCTGACAACAAACACAGAAATTCAACTGCATCAAATAGTTATCATATCTCAGTCAAGATAATTTACCCCATTTTCAATATAACCAGTGATAAGAAAAATCTAGCGTTTGAAACCTTCACAAAAGTCATTACATATGACTCGTAACCACTAGCTGAAGGATTCATTCTGCACTGAACTGAATGACATTTGGTCCAGTGTTAAACAGATACTTGAATAGGTCTGTTAAATTGCTTTCATTGTATTGACTTTATGAACTCCTAATTATTATCAAGTGACTTGAGGTCCTGAAATGGAACAAGAAGATATAAGATGTCATGTTAAGATCACAATATCTTAAGTGTGATTTATCACTACCACGTCTTGACGACCAGAATCTCATTGAGTAGGCACAATTCGCCAACATTAATCAGTCAAGTGTTTCATCAAATAAACGAAGTCTGTGTATATTTAAGTGGTTTTTGTCACATCTACTTGTAGTGACTTGCTTTTACCACGAGAAAGCGATTGGTTTAATGAAAACAATTATTATTATAACCAATTGTACCAGTGATTGTTTTACTGTGCTCGTTTGTTTAACTGTGCTAATGACAGACATATTGTGTGCTTCCATTATCCTCCGATATTGTTTCGCGGTTCGTGACTCTGCTCGCAAGTACTCTCTTATGTTGCTTCTGCTTGTACCATTTATTGACACGATCTTGGTATTCATTCGATAACACGAGGTTGCCAATTAAATAAACTTGGTTCTAATCCGCCTTCTGATTTTATTGACACGTATTTCTCAGTAGCGGTGTCCATAGTCAACTGGGACTCGACACCACGCTACATACGAAACATAATTCACTTTTCTGAATTCTTTCAGTAATTTGAACCTAGTTTTATACAGAATGACTTTGATGTATCACGCCCATAAGACTGATCTTATCACCAGTACTCTCTCAAATTTGACCATCTCAAACGACTGTTCAACTAACCGGGTACGGTTTTCATTTGAAATAAACGTAGTGAAGAGGATAAGATGAGATGAGTCTGGTTTCGAGAACTCCACTGAGGTTTATTTGAAAATTGACATTTCAGATCACGAATTATTAACTGTCCATTACCAACAATGACACATACTACTGAATTACATAATTCAATTAAAGTACAAATGCTAAACGAACTTGTCTACGCTTTCTATAATTGCATGAAACACATACATGTAACCGCATCGATTAACGTCAATATGTATATTCACTGGAATGTATCTCTGATACCTACATTTCAATATATACGTATGAAGCATAGTGTTATAACGCTCGGTTTTACTTCGTCTAATGTTATAATGGTTGGTTTCCCACATTTACACGTATGCGACGTTAATTCAACTTAGATCAAATATCTACACTAGATTCCCTCACAGTGTCTATTCTACAGCACTTCAACACATCTCAGATCAAGAACACGTGATTAGCCTGACCACAACGTAAATATAATTCCACACCGAAACCCGACACAATTCAACAACAATAAACAATCAATAATAAGTGAGTAGTAATATAAATAATAATAATAATAAGGTAGGGGGAATATACATCTCATCTGACACCTGTCAGACTATCTACATGTCTGACTAAGCAGACAGCCAACCATTATCATTCTCGTCCACACATCACATACTTTGGATAAGTTCCATGTATCTCTACTGCTGAAATCATTAATAGCTCATCAGAGCTTTTGGTTTAGATAAAGGCTTTCAAAAGTGATAGGAAAGTGTAGTGTATGACACAATAACAATATGTCTGCACTACGTAGTGTGTAGGTCAAGTTGACCCTCCATACCACTAATATCATAATCCCTACACATATATATATTCCCCCTAATGTCCAGTAGCACTGAATTTTCAGTGCTCTTCCCTATCCAAATAATCATGGCACATCCTCATTCTGTTTGTCGAGATAACTGTAACTGTAAATGAAACAGTTGTTCTTATCTAATACTATATAAATGCATTGTGAAAATAATATAGAGAACAAACATGTGATATAAGATAGTTTTAAGTATTTTAGTTCAGTAATTGTTTAGGTAGTACATTTAGGACATGTATTAGAGTAATCTAATGCATTAGCCAGGAACTTTTAAATTTTCTTAAGTGGACAGCCTGTTGATGTTATGAACGGTGTAATTACGGTCATTTCCTGTGCCAGAACAAATTAATGATAATTATCTACAACTAGTGAAAGTAAAACGAAAACAGAGAGCACGGAACAACAATTGACTCATGATCCCAATTATTGAAATTACTACAATCTCCACAAAACCCCTTCGCTCGCGAGACTGACAGATTTCGGGTTCGAATCCCACGAGGCGGTGTCGTGGATGCGCGCTGCTGAGTAGTCCCACAACAGGACGAAACGGCCGTCCAGTGACACCACGTTTTCCATGGTGGTCTACCTTCAATCGACTCATGATCTCAACTATTGAGATTCTGATTATCACCCTGAAGAAGTCCAGATAAGTTTGTTGGACGAAACGTTGGAGTTATTTAAACTTAAATCACTGAGATTATTTCACAACATAATTTTCACTCAAAGTTACTTTTCTTCACCTGACGTTCAATTCTTGTCAAACCATTCATTCTTATATTGACGAATGTTCGTATAAAAGCAATGAGACATTCTATACGTTTTCAGAATAAAGCTGTAATGCTGTTTGCTGACAAATGAACGTCGGAGGAGCGATCAAAGAACACATTACACCGAGAAACGGAGACACACATGAGAAGAATGAACAACAATTGGATAGAACTAAAAGGTGAGCCCACGACAGAGTGGATTGTAGAATGCTGATCTGTGACCTATGCCCCATTAGGGGTAACTGGCGTAAATATGTAAGTCAACAACCGTATTCGGCTATCACGCTTTCACTCGATCAAATTCAAATGGAAAATGTTTATTTACAAATCATAAAAGGAATGGAAAACAACAAATTTAAACAATGTTTATAGTTTCTCAACACCAAGTTCCATATCACCCTTTACTGTTGTAAACAATCACGATGGCTTTGGATAACCATCCAATAATCCAACAAACAACAATATCATTCAGAATAACATTGTCCAGTGACAAACCTTGTGATTCGTATTGTAATTAAGAATCTATTCATTTCATAATATCGTATGATAATTTTGCCGAAATCTTACGAGACATCAGACTATGAATGAAGCTATAAATGAAAGAAAATCTTCAGAATAATTATTCAAATGACCTTATTGAAAATCAGACTACCAATCGTCAGTCACATCCTACATACTGTATTATACAATTATGAAATATATTTAGTCGATATTTTTGCTCTCTCACTCTGTCTCTCCCTCTCTCTCTCTGGATCTATATGCATATATATACATTGAATGCAACTGTCGACAACCATTTGTAACTAGTTGTAAACATGATACAGTCAAACGAACACATCACCATTTACTTTGCATTAATGATCGGTAAGTTTAATACTTTTAAATTGATAGTTGTTTCTTTTTATATAACTAAGATGTATTGATAACAGTTGAGGAACTATTGATCTCGAGATAAGACTGTTGGTTCTAGTGAATATATATATATCTATACATCTGAGCGAATGAATTCTGAAGAATATTCAACGTGTTGCTTGGCAATCTGGTCCAAGCTTTCTCTCGAATACAAATACATTCCTTCTCATTAATGTCTCACATCGAATCGGCGCTCAATTACGGTGAAACTATTCGATCAAATTTAGACGAAAGTTCTTATTTATTATTCTGCAATTGTATCAATTCATAACTGAATAGTTCCATAAAGGCATAGTGGTAACATGCATTACATCAATCTTACTCCTGTAAAACTCAGATATAATGCAAACTAATTGGTTGGTGATGTGTCATTGTTTACAACTTTGTGATCAGTAGATTATGAGTAGTAAGAGAACATCACTCATTTTTCTTTTGTGACAATGTGATTCGTTGATAAATATGGATAAAGATGGTAGTTTATGACACATAATCAGTAGTAAGTGAACTATACAAGTACAAATAGTAGAAAGCAGATTATATAACGATTTCCACAAATTCAATGAGTTCATCAATGATCATAATGGAGAGACATCCACTAGTATATTCATTGTGTATTTTAAATCAGGTGAGATTTCAACAATAAAATAAGCGATATTGAATTTGTATAACGACCGTTCGATCCAGGAAAATGATATATATATGACTATTGCATCAACATTACTATTGCCATTGACAGCATTCATTCTAGTCAATCACTTGGAATTACACTCACTCGCTTATCACGATGGAGTAATCTAGGTGAAATGGTCAACGCATTGTGTGACTTCGATGTGAGCATAGAGATCACATCATTTCTGTCGAACTCGAGTGTACTCACACCAGCAGTATGGATCGCGAACGTTAATGATGTACATAGACTACGGCTGTTTGTTGTACAAAACTAAAACATATGTATATTGAATCAAGATACATAAGGCATTTCAACTAGGTTCAAGTTGTTACATGTGTTTCATAATGGAAATTCATATTAACACATCATATCGCATCATATTTCTCTTCATGTTTTACCAATTTTTCTAGTATTCACGTCACTACACACGGGAAACGGACAATATAAACCTGCATATCTGGAAACAAATATGGTTGAAAGTGAGTGTGATTATTAGAATTATGAATAAACAACCAAGCATAATGTTCCCGCTGTAAGCATTCGCTTCAATTCCCTCTAAATCATTACATTTCTGAAACAGTCATTCCCTATTCCCATCATAATACATTTTTGCTAGTGTCATGATAACAAAGATTAGTGAAATTATTTTAGGTTGATTGTGAATGCACAAACGACAGTTTATTTCCCTAGTTAAATGAAAAATTCATCACGAGCTAAATTACTCGTGACGTCACCGGACTAAATCATCACGTTTTTAAAAACACTGTTCAAATGACATATAGTCCTACTGACAGTTACATCTGCAAAGTAAGAGTAGTCGAAGATGAACTTACTTCGTACAAGCAAATGAAGTTGTATGAAAGCACTTTCAGAAAATTGGTGGTCAGTATAACTAGACAGAAAACAATCCAATCCACAGAACAATACATGTGTGCATTTCCAGTGAATCGTCCTAAAGATAATTGATAATATAGTATCATCAGCAACCGTATATTCTTGCATAAGCTGGATGGAAATTCATCAAACATCGTTAATTAAATGCGCGAATTATGCTGTATCTTATCATTAGTATTTTTCAAGCTCATTCACATAATCAAGATAATAAGTGTATTCGAATACGCAAAGATATAGCATTCCGAAAACACATTTGAAATCAGACAAATCAGGTGAGGGATGAAGTGTCTTGATGCACGCATCTATTTAGTACACCTTTGAACAAGTGAAGTTGTTGACAGAGTAAGGGACATCGTGTTTGTTCTCACAGTTAATTGTGTCACTCAATGCCATCCGTTCACAAACGTGTGTGTATCTATGCTGATCAGCATCGTTGACTACTCGAACCAGTATTCGATGGCCACTGAAATCTGATGTGAATCTGCAACGTAGGTGATTGAGGAGAACTGTGTTGAACCCAATTAATAATTCACAATGAAGATGAGATTTGAGACTTTGTATCACATGGATCATTATTCACTTTCCACCATGACCGGTTTGTATGTACACTCATCCACCTGTGCATTGCACTACAAACATCACACAAAATAGAATGATCTCCAGTTAGATTATTTTGTATTTGATTGAGTTCTCGAAATCTTAATTTGTGATGTGCATCGCAAGTTGCAGTAACTGATCCACCATCCCTATGTTCATCTTGAACTTGTCCAGTCAAAACTGTGCATTCTGTAAAACAGACCTCGTATTAAACTGCTCAATTGCTCACATAAGAGAAAATACTCAATCATTTTAGTCGACCATCAGTTTATAGAGTAAAGAAATTCGAGTGTCAGTGCCATCAATGTCATCACACTGGATAAACAGTCATACCTAATAAATTAATTGCACCCTAACCAAACTCTCCATTCCAAGTGTTTTCTCTTCACTTTCAAACAGACAATGCAAGAACAAATACTTTCCGCGTAATTCAAGAACAGACGACAGCCATGGCCTTCGAATGGAAAACAATGACGCATGAAAATTTTGGTTATGTCTATTTGCTTCAAGACATACCCTATGGGATTGATAGAACAGTGAAAGTATACGAAGGCAATATAGGTTTATTAGAAGCTATTGGCGAACCATGTGAACATTCAAAATATCGTGCCGAGGGCTACACCAATAACTTATTTCCGTTTAATTTCGACACCGTTGGCTTGGCATACAAAAGAGGTGAGTTGTTTCTAAACTCTTACCTAACAATCACATTTCCAATCTCTGTTCCATCTTCATCACAATTATACAACATTCAAATTCCATATTGACATCTTTAGAGATCACATGTTCAGTGGAATGTTTGATTGCATTTCTTGTGATGAATGTCAATCTATGTATACGTTGTAACGAAGCCACAGTACTGCTCCGCTTGATATATTCACCATCAAATCACTGTGTACATCAGCAGTGACAATGTCACAGTGTATTCATTTTGTGCTCACATTGTTCCTTTCATTCCTTCCTAGTTCCGAGAATCAATAATGTTCAAATTCAGTTGAGGTCAAATCTGTATTCACACGTGAAGTGGGAAACAGAAAGAACAGCCTGTGAACCAACTGATTCCATCATTATATTCAGAGGATATTCGAACCAATCACTAAAGATGTATACCATCACGAACAACCAAATTGAGTACTATTCGGATGAATTCAAAACAGAAGAAGGAATGGAAGAAGTGTTCATTGTGTTCAGCAAACATGGAAACCGTTTCTCTCTACCGACGATGGGTAAAATTCTCTTTGTGTGTCTTATGCATTGCAAGATTTTTCTGGCAAGCACTGTTGTGGAAGTAGAAAAATGTGTGTACATGTAGTGCGATCGCACATGTTTGTCAGTCGACAAATTGAAAAGGAATATCTACCAGAGTGACTGTCTATGTTCACATCTGACTCACCCAAATGTAGTTCAGATGTGTGGTCCAAATAATGTTGTTTCTACGTCAACTAGCAGTGCCTGCCATCACAGAAATATCGAAGTTATTCATAGTCACAGTTCACTGATCGGTGTAATCTAATCATAACGGTTGACATCATGATAATACATATCTAGAATAGAAGAGCTGGTCTGATTCACCCCAGTGTTGCTTTAGTTTTATACTTTCCGAATGTGACCAAGCAATGTGATCATGACAATTTGATGAAATAGGTAGGAAAACTCTTACTCACAACCGAGTTCACGTTTCTGACGTCGCTCAGTAATTTAACTCAGTTTTGAACATTTCTCCATGTAAATGTGTCTCATCTCAATACGCTGAGTGTTGTGCCATCATGACTAGAGTCATTTGATAGTCATCTACACCGATGACGTCATCATCACAATAATGATTAACGTGAATCATTGCAGACGTTCACAGACAAATAATAACCACTGGTCCACATGTGAATGTCGCACTGATTCTGGTCATCACAACACACGATACATGTAGAGTTAACCAAGACACCACAGTGATAATTTATATATGGTGAGATCATAGGAACTAAGCTGAGAAAATAGTACATTGAAATCTATCTCACGAGTAATCTGTTTCATTGAGCTCTGTTCAGCACAATTTTGTCAATTCAACATTCCATTCTCAACTAATAAACAAACTCTTTGTTTTCAAAATTCTCTCTTTCCTACCGCAATCCAAATCAATATGCCATGAATGTGAGTTTATTGATTATACTTTCAAACACAAAAAGATATTTTGTTCAGTTAATACTTTCCTCGATGTTCCATCAGTATAACTAGTATAACTAGTTCCTTCTCACCTACATACAGGATTACACTCAATCCCAACTGTGTTCTATGCATCAATGAATTGTGTTTGGAATGTAGGTTCAGCATGAAACCACATGATGTTTGATGTTTGTAGAGAGACCAGATGAAACTGTCTCCAATTCAACTGTCTGAATATCGGTAAACATTTGAAGAGATTTGAGAATGACAAACGTCCCTTCAAGACTAGTCTGATTATGTTCAAGCGAATTTTCAACATCACACACACCTAATCACCATATCGTTTTCATTGTTTTGTAGAATATGAAAGCCAAATGTAAGTTCATGTAACGTTTCTGTATGTATAACAGATCAATGTTTACTTCGCTTCTTCACTAACCTTAACATTTTGACTATGTAATAGATCACAGTTGCTGTCAGTCTAATCTTTTCATAACATTCTCATTATTGATTTAGTCACCTTAACGAATCACCAACATAATCATATGTATTCGTTGTTTTCATTTACCAGATAAAAAACCAGTGTGGAAAGGGAACAAAGAACAATCAACAAACCAAACAAAACGTGAGATAAATACATAACGATTAATCCATTGTTCCCCATGTAAATCTGACTAGATTGTGAGAAGTTTCGGAGTATTTGTGAAAGTGAAGATACTCCGAGGTTAATAATTAACATGCTGATTGAACAGTTATGAACTACTGAGACGAAATACACGTGACAATCTATGGGATTGATAAACACTAGAAAGTCACTCTCATCTCAGCATATGGTGATTAGATACTAGACGTAAAATTCAACTCACTTCATTGAAAACCTGTGCTGTGTAAATCGAAAATGAGGAGAATTCGCATAACTGTATTCAACGGTTTCCGTGGAACATCAGTCATCTGATCGCTTTGAACACTAAAAGGCGCGTAGTGTTGGTTGAATGAATGTGACAGTGCTATTTGTGTATGCTGAATGGTGATATAAATGAACGTGGTCCCACTTCACATCAACATTCTAGCATGAATTGATCATTTGTGTATATTCTGTTGGTTGAGTTGTTCGTCAATAATTGATTTGACTTTCTGTGTTTATTCGATTTATGTAGCATCTGTGAATTTCACGGTGATAAATGAGAATATGACTAAGTTCACGACAGGTGGAAATCTCACCTAACTCACATTTCTTCAGACCTTCTCTTCCTATGATTACGTGAATGTTTCTGCCTTGATCAATGCTTCTTTTGCATATGTTCATGACGTTTTACGTACTTTATGCTACTTATGTCGATGAAGTCGGAAATCGTGTGTTTTAATGACACCTTAAGTATTCAACCGTTGAATTCCAAATATGTTTCGACTAACACACCATGATGTATTCTGTTTGGAGTCGTGAAATGTATTATCTCCTCTTATGAAATTATTCAACTGAATTTGTCATATTACACTTGTGTTTATCTCTCATTTACAGCATCGAATATTACAGTATCATCATTTCTAGAAAATATCAGTACTTCAAGTGAGTAGGGACTTCACTGTCAGTTCTGAATTCATGTGCACAATAATCACTTGCCAATTTTCTCATAAATCCAAACTGTCTGAACGTATTCGTACACATCGAATGCTACTCTCCACATATCAGTATTTTGAGAGATATCTCCTTTAATAAAGTCGGTTCGCACAGTTCAAATCATATTCACAATCTGTACACTTACTCAACACAATTATATAGACGACGTTCATTTGACTGATGTTTTATCATTTATGTCAATTCACATGTGTCAACTTTATACTGTATATCCACATGTAGTTCTATTTGTGCATATGTAGGTCACGAATTATCTCACATTCTCATGCAAAGTTCTAACTGATCGTTAATTCATTCTCAATTTGATAAATAAATTTGGATTCCCTGTTGTTGATCTTTTCTTTCTCAGATGTCTTCATATCGATATTGATTCTGGTCATTTTCGTGGTCAGCATAGTTTTGTTCTTTCTAATCAAGATGTTATAACAACAATTGTGACGTGTATTTGTCTGTGTGAACTCTGTGTGCGTGTGTGCGTGGTGTGTGTGCTGTGTGTATGTGTGTGCAATTCTGTCAAACTGTATAAAACTTTCGTTAAATTATTTTCAATAAAAAGATGATACTGTGGTTTATTCCTTTTCGGAACTCAACAACGACTCACTAATAAATATACAGGGACAATGAGTAGTCGAGTGAACAATCATCTTCAACAACTAGGTCATCATACGCTACATTCACCATTCCACAATTATCGTGTTATTTAACAAAGGTCAAACTAAGGCATCGAACTGTGAATCAGACCTTGTTTCATGTTTAAGGACGCTTATGTAATCATAATCGGTCATTATGCTTCTTGAACACTCATGAGCAGTAGGGAAGTGCTCCTGCATAACACGTCTTTAAATTATCTACTCCTCGTGAGTATAATCACAATTCATTCAGAACGCTTATCACTAAGTAGAGCAGGAATGTAATTTAGGACTCGACTAAATACTGATTACGAATTCATCTTCCTACTTCTCTGTCTAAATGTGCACACTACTGCTCACTGCAAACAATTACTTTACCACTATTCAACAATTATTCGACTGTTATGTTAGTTGCTAGTATTACTATGAAACGCGAATTTTCAATAGAAAGATGTAAACAACTATCAAAAGGTAGTGCATCCATCAAATAACTTATATAATTGTTCGACATTTAAATCAGTATTTCTATTAGGCTGTCGCATTTGAACAATCCACGTGCTTATTAATGGTAAAATACAGTGAAGAGAACTATCTACAACTGCCAACTTGAACAAGTGAAACAATATTCCGTTAATTTCAAAATTACAACAAGTTCATTCAGTTGTACAACAATAATGGCACAGTGCCAAATCTAACTGTCTAAACAACAATTTTAAGTGTAAATGTCATCCACACTCTCGTCAGACATTCTGACTGACACTCAAGTACAAGCACCAGCTGCAAGTGTCCGACACAATATACACAGAAAACAAGGTCACAATATTGAGATGCTCGTGCCAGAAAACCAAATGTTACTACGACTAAACGAATTTGTTAGTGTCAATACTTCCGCGTCCTTAAAAGTGGCTGCTATTCACTGGATGTTTACTGCATATATGATGCTTGATCAAATACTCGACGACTCAAGACCTATCCAGTGAATTTGGTAATTTAGTGACTGAAACACTAGAAATAATCATCAGTTCGCGCAAATGAGTGAACCTTGTGAAAACTGAAATCGACTGTGTTGCATCTATTACAACATTGATGGAATTTCGCAACAATTAAACAGTGAATGGATGTCCAGTCTATTGTGAAATTGATGTGAGACGTAATTATTAGAATACGTTATCACACGTACAAATAGGTTGAAAAGTGAAATGTTCTCTAGACAACCTGCAAGTCCAGAGTTTATTCCTTACTGGTTTAGTTGATGTAGGGTGACACTTAGATGTACCATTCTGTCATGAAACAACTATCCAGTGATATTGTGGTTGATACTCCTTACCTAACGTCATATATATAATAGTATCTTTCATGTTCTTATTTATCGATCATACGTTCTACTATGACCTGACAACAAACACAGAAATTCAACTGCACCAAATAGTTATTATATTTCAGTCAAAGTTAAATTACTCATAACATGTGATATAAGATAGTTTTAAGTATTTTAGTTCAGTAATTGTTTAGGTAGTACATTTAGGACATGTATTGGAGTAATCTAATGCATTAGCCAGGAACTTTTAAGTTTTCTTAAGTGGACAGCCTGTTGATTTATGAACGGTAAGTGGTGGATGTTCAGACTGAAAATGCATAGTAGCATTTCAATTGTATGAGTTATTCGTCGTATTGACCTGATTTATAAACTTCATGCTCGTCATAGATTCTCGCTTAAGTCAAATCGCTTGTTTGGATTGACGGATTTAGTAGCTGGGCAGGGCAACTCAGATCCTGGCTCTGTTTGTGTTCAATTGAACAATTAATTATCTTGTGGAGTAGGGGATAGCGGAAGTTGCAACAGTGAGTGAAACGTTTGTGAGCACAGCACAATTGTAATTGATGAAACAGTACTTGATGTCTTAGATGACTAGTTTCAATAATACTGATAAACCAGTTACGCTGGATGTATTGCATACTTAGAGAGAGTGCCTTCGATGTCCGTCAGCTGTGATATGATAAGCAAAACTGTGGCGCTGTAAGTTGCGGTGCAGAGCCAAGCTCTTGAGATCGTTCTATAGTGTCTATGGTGCATGCCAATGGGTAGATGGACAAATGTTATACGGATGTGTCCTACTGATGTTAAACGCTGACTGTGTCTTCCGTACTTTTATGACTATATCTCTCCCATGTTTTGTTTCGTAGACTACGCCCTTGCAGTTCAAGGTGTAACATGCCCCATAATCCATATAGGTTGTTTTCCGTTGAGCAAATAAAGAAGCAGTGTTTACCTACACTTTACTTAATTAGAATAATCATTATCACTCGTTCTTCAAGAAGATATTGGTCGTTTCTTGAGCACAAGTGTTCGAAAACAAGAATGAAGTCCAATGTAATTAACTATCGTCAATTGCCAAAAACAGAAATCGTGAACAAGTAACTCATTTATTCAACAAATACAGAAAGTCCAATCACTGATGCAAAGATGCCAGCGCAGCGTCAATTCCAACTGTTTGATAAACCATACTGAACATAAATGTCACCCTCATTTCGGTTAGACATAAGGACTGACTCGGAAATATAATCACGTACTGTGAGTTTAAACAACAATAAACATGAAAAACAGGCCACAACATGGAAATGCTAGGGCCAAATATTGAGATGTTATTACGATCAAACGAGATAACTGGCGTCAGTATCTCGCCTTTCATGATACTTCTCCAACCAAAAAAGAATGCGCAGTGTTCTCCTTCTCCAATTAACACTTTTGCTTTGTCTAAGTTCTTCATAATGGAATCGCACCCTAAACGATGGATAGATAGGACAAACGGATGCACTGTTGTTTACCTCATTGACTCTTATCCATCATTTGACGAAACTAAATGGTTGATAAGGATTTGATTTAAACAAACATAATGGTGCCAGTCACCGATAACTGCACTTAAAACTGAAACCTGTATATCAAGCCTGTAAATACATATAACCTGATTTTATTGACCATGTGACTGGGTATGTGTCACGATCTCGACTATTGAATAAACAATAATTACCAAAATATATTAATAAGGTCTACAATAATGCATATGCCATGTGACACAGTGGTTTACTGTTCATGTTAGATATTATTCAGATTAGTTAAGTTTTCTAGGGTCAGTGTTAACATAAGGTGACAGCAGGTAATTTGTTCAACTTAAGGAATTCACTAATAAGAATAGCTAAACATTTGATGTTCTTATAATCTCACTTGTAGTAATACAAATCCATCTTTGTTACACATCATAAAATTGCATATAATCCTTTCTGTTTCATCTAAATCAATAATTTTATTTCTCGGTATAAGGTTGCGGAGATTATTAAGTTATTGATTGAGATCATGAACTGATTGATGTTAGACTACTATTGAAAACCTAGAATCACCGGACGGCCGCTTCATCCTATTATGGCACCCCTCAGCAGTGCGCATCTACGATCCCGCTCACAAGATTCAAACCCAGGGCCATCAGTCTCGCGCACGAACTCTTAACCCACTAGACCATTGAGCAGGCCAGCATCCAATGGTGTTAATGTTTAATCTCAACCAATCCACGAAATTGCACAACCATCTTCTATTGTACTGAGGTAGAAACCTGTCTCTACCCGACATAAATTAGCTCAAATAGTCACAGATTTTTATTTTATTTCTAACTAACTTTCATTCACTTCATCGACATATATCATCAGTGTTTATTCATATATTACATAATCACTTATTTCCAGCTCCTTTGGTATTTAGTTACTATCACTATTCATATAATCTTTGTAACATTTTTTTTTAATATTTTTATTTAGTCACCTAAATCTATTTACATTTATTCAATACTATGTAGTTGTCATGTGATTACACCAATTTTTTTTGTGTATAAATATATTCTCTTTCATTTTTTTCTTTTAATAATATTATGAATATGTAACTAATGCAAGTAAGATTTAATTGGTTGCTAAGTGACGATAGACTGATAAATATTCAACTATTTAATCAATATGTATATATATATGATTTCTTTATTATCATTGGTTTCTTCTTTGACCTATTGAAGTTAGATTTTATATCATTGTATTGATTAAGGTATTGTTTAACTTTAAAATATTATTATCAGAAGGGGTTTGTGGAGATTTTAGAAATTTTCACAGATTGAAATCATGAGTCAGCTGAAGCTAGACCACCATTGAAAACCTGGAAGTGAGATATCAGCTCACTGAAGACAATGGTGGGGCAACTTCGTGGATTGGTTGAAGTTAGACATTAACACCGTTGGATACTGGCTCAGTGGTCTGATGGTTAAGCGCTCGCG